GGTGGGCCACAAAACTGTACATAAGGATGCCCAAGAGCCACATATTGACAGTTTTAAAATGTAATATTATCTATGTTTTATTGTGTTTTTATTTAATCTGTTAAGAATTTTCCAATTACATTTTAATCTGGTTGTGGCTGTATGCAGGAGTATTGTGGACCCCATGTGGCATATTTTGCACCTCTGATGTATAGAATGGCACATTCTTATGCTTTTTTCCTGTTTCAGTTAAAAAGGTGAAAAAGGTTACATTCTTCCAGTCACCCAGGTTCATAACCACCATATTATCCTCAACTCCTTACTCTTGCCTACCTCATACATTCTTTCAGTTGCACATCATGTTGAGTCTACCTCCATAACATCTCTTGCTTCCACACCCTTCTCTGTACTCACACAACCACCCCATCCCCCATTTCAGTCCCTAATCATCTCTTACCTGCTATTTTTGCACTACCCTCCTTCATTCTCTTCTCCCTCCCTGCCTTCATTCTCTTCTCATTCCAAGCTGTCTTCCATACGGAAATGACCAAAGCAATATTCCTAAAGCATAGGTCTAAAAGTGTCACTCCCTTGTTCAACAAACTTCAGTGGGTTCGCCATTACTCCAGGATCAAATATAAACTCCTGTTAGGACTTTAAAGGCTTTCACATCCTGGGTTCAGTACCTTTCCAAGCTTAATGACCACCGTTTCATTGACTCTTTGATCTTTCCAAAATAGCTTTTTTTCTATTCCTCACACATGACGTGTTCCCTCCTCACCACCACATCTTAGAATCTTGTTTCCTTCAAACCTCAGCTCAAAAACATCAACCACCTCCTACATGAGACATTTTTCTGACCCTTCCCCACATACTAGGGCCTCCCCTAAAAACTATATGCGTGTGTAAATATATACATATAATACACATATGTATACATAATAGCACACATGCCTGTGTATGCATACACATATATATATGAAACTATTTCAATATAATTTATTTCCATTATATCCCATGTATTTTGTTTTACACATTTAAAAGCTTTATTTTGAGAAGGGGTTCATACTGCCAAAGAGAATATGCATTATATGTACATATGCATATATACATATATACATACAAAATATTATTAATAATATGTGTGTGATACTGTTGTTTGTCAGTTCTTGAAGAGGATCATGACATCAGGGAGGTGATGCCTTGGCATGCAAGTTAATTGGATTTAAGTGAGGGAGAGCTGTGCAAAGTCAGCAGCTTCACTTTCTCCTCTGGAGCCACCTGGGTCCAGCAGCAAGACACAAATCAGGACAACTGGAGATGGCCTTCATGTGTGTGTGTGTGTGTGTGTGTGTGTGTGTGTGTGTGTGTGATATAATATATATTTGAAGAAAGACGCTATCTGCATCCAGAGAAAGAACTGATAAATAGATGTATAGAATAGTTTACACATACACACACACACACACACACACACATACACACACATATGTATGCATGTGTGTGGGTATATACTCACATGCATACACGCACGCACACACACACACACACACGCCTACAAATTTGTGTCATGGGGGGGAGAAAAAAGGGGAAAAAAGAAAGTTACATGATAAATTTATCATATATTTGAAAGGAATAGCAAGTTGTACATAATAAATTTGCAGTTTCATGTGCTTTTTTTTTCTATTCTACCATATAATGGAAATGTTTGTCTTATTTCCTAAGTTCAGAATAAACTAAGTAAAAATTTTTAAAAATAATTATAATAGTACATCTATTTATTACATATAGTCACTTTGGTAGTATGGACCTCTTCTCAAAATAAAGCTTTTAAATGTAAAAAATAAAATACACAAGATGCAAAGGAAACTAACATTGAAATGCTTTCATATATGTATGTATGTGCTTGTGTGTATGTGTGTGTATATATATATATATGTACATACATACACATATATGTACTTATTGTGATAGGACTAATCTTTACCAGTGTAGTTCCCTGATGCAGCTTCTTCCCCCCCCCCCACAGCATGAGGGCCACCCACAGGCGCCTCTTCTTTTCCTATTCCTTAAAGATTAGTTTTCCCTAAAACGAAACAAAGCTATGCCAGGGACCTGACAGGCCTTGGCTTCTCCAACCAACATATCTTCTTGGTCACCTAAAGGCATAAAAAGTTCCAACCACAAGAAGCTGGGTCTCTAACATTTGGTGGAATTACAATGACCATGAGAGCCACTGTGTCCTTTACGTTTCCAGAAGGAGGAGTCCAGAGAAGTTGTAACACTAGATACCTGCTGAATATCTTTCTTGTGTTAAGCCAAAGTAAAGTTTTTATTAACCTTTCAATGACTTGTGAATGCCTCATTTTTTTCTCAGCATTGAAAATTAACTAAGAGATTGCTGGCCTCCTCCAACACACACACACACACACACACACACAACACACATAATTATTTGTATTGTTTCCCTCTAGTTCAGAGATTCTTAACTTTTTTGCGTCATGGACCCTTTTGGCAGTTTCAAACAAAGTTTTGAAATGCATAGGATACGAAAAAAACATTATATTTAAATACAGTTATAAAAAATTTTAAGTTCATAGTTGTTGTTCAGTCATTTTTCAGGCATGTCTGACTCTGCATGATCTCCTTTGAGGTTTTCTTTGCAAAGATACTGGTGTGGTTTCCCATTTCCTTCTCCAACTCATTTTACAGATGAAGAAACTGAAGAAAACAGAGCTAAGTGACTTGCCCAGGGCCACACAGCTAGTCTGAAGCTAGATTTAAATTTTAGAAGATGAGTCTCCAGCCCCAACACTCTATTCACTGTGCCGCCTAGCTGCCCCTTTATAGACTCCAAGTTAAAATTAATAAGTTGTAAGCTCCTTGAGGTCAACACTTATTTTTTTTAATCTTTTCTTTATATCCCTAGCACCTAACATGGTGTCTAATTTATGACAGGCACTCAGTAACTGTTTGTTGATTGTTTGGGGACACCTCAAATAAAAATTTCTATTCTTACTATTATCTATATCATGAAATTAGGGGTTTATTTTTCTCCCCTAAAGAGATAGCATTGTGGATGGCACAAAGTAGAGGAATTTTATTAGAAACCGCCCCTTCCTTCAAGGTTCTAAGATGGACTTGTTTAAATTTACCAAATGTTTATTATTTATCATGTAAAACATACTATGCCAAGTTGTCGGAAAAACATTGAAAAGTATAATGAGAACATAAATGAAAATGTTAAAGAGGCCAAAGTATTTGCTAGGTCTTATACTGGTTACTCGGTGATCTAGTATCACTGGTCTTCTTGTGAAAACACTCCATGTCCAGGCTCCAGGCATTTTCACTCACTGGCTGTCCCCCATGCCTGGAATTCTCTCCTTTTTCATCTCCAACTTCTAGCTTTCACAGTTTCCTTCCAGTCCCAAATCTGACCTTCCAGAGTCTTTCCTGATCACCCTTTATTCTAGTACCTTTCCTTTGATGATTATCTCCAGTTTGCTACTTGTACATTTTATTTGCATTTTGTCTCTCCATTAGATTGTAAGCTCCTTGAGAACAAGGACTGGGTTTTTTGGCTCTTTTCATTTCTCAGCACTTAACACAGTACCTAAACACCTAGTAGATGCTTAATAAAAATATGTTGACAAATCTGACTCATTAGGAGGTATTTTGTCAATGGGGATTTTTTTGTTTTTGTTTTTGTTTGTTTTTTCCCTGCTTCTTCCCAGTTCAAGTCTGTTGAGTCAAACTCTCTCACAATGAGCCCCAGTCTCATGAATATGCAGGTGCCCATACATACTAAATTGTTACCACATAATCCAACCAATAATCATTAGGGTAGTGGGCTGATACATGACATTCATTTTAATTGACCTCCAGAGGACTGCAAGGCATGTCCACAATGGTTCTAGAATGCCATATTTACTGAGATTTCTGTGATTATTTCTTTTGAATTCATCATCTTAGAGTTCCACATTGAGCATCTGCCAAGGGTCATTTTCCATTGCAGTGCTTGGAGAGGGATAAGGAAAAGTGTAATGACACAAGTAGATATAAAGTGGTCTTTGGAAACTGCAAATATGACTTCTAGGGCATCAGGGAAATAGGGGAACTGATTTAAAGGATGTTATAATGAGAAAATGCTGAACAGAATGTCAGACAGGGCATCAGTTAAGTATGGATCTTTAATGATAGGTTGCTAGGTGCTATTGTACAGGTTGCTTTTTTATTACAGAGGGCCCAATTAGACTCATCTTGATTCATAATTCTACCAAGTAGAGAAACAGAAATACCACTCAAGAAGAGACTGGCGGACAAGCTGACATTGATTATTCCCCAGGGAGTGGGAAGGTCTTACATCAATTGTCCTATCACCTAGTTACAGTAGTGATCTCTAGGGGATAGCCCCCTAGACTAACTGGCTTCCCAACCAGGAAATAGAAGGCATAGGGGCTATCTCTCCCAGCTGAGGAGGCTAAGAGATAGGATCTGCACTGCCAAGGTTGAAAGTATCTCACTGTTTTCCTTCACTGATGGTCACAAATTAGTGACATGATAAAGGGGAGAATCAAATAAGTTCCCATTTTTATCTATTTACTTGACTGCCAGCTTTCAAAATAAATGCTATAAAACTGCTCTGCTTCAGCAAAAATAGGAGACCCATCTATAGCGCCACCAGCTGGTTCCTTCAGGTCCAAAGGCAGTTCAGTTCTGTACGGCAAAACAAAACAAAACAAAACAGACATCCTCTGTTTCTCTTTTAGTTCCGTGTTTGTTATTAAAATCACACACTTCCATAGTATAAGAAAAAAAGGTTAAGAAATTACTTTCCTCAAAGTTAAATTCAGGCTACATCTCTCCCCTGCCATCCTTTCCCAGACACACGCAATGGAAACTCATGAGGATGTTCCTCCATGAGAACTCCTTTTCTCTGAGAGGAGGCAGACAGAATTATATCTAAAATAGAAGCAGAAATTGCTGCCAGTAATCCTGATGAAAGAACGTGGATTTCTTACCCTCTGGAGTCCAACAGAAGGAACCTGGGTGTCTGTGCTAGTGTTTCTGTACAAGCCTTTATTTGCAGGCTTTTCACTTCCTGTCAAGAGAAAAAAGTAAAAGAGCCATGTGAGTCCTCATTGTGGCAAAGAAGTGAAGAGTAGCTTTAGGGAATCTGTTTACCTAAGTAATTTTTCATCATGTAACTGTTTGTCTTCCCTGGGGAGACAAGGGTGAGGCTGTGTCACAAGTGATGTTTACTTGCTAACACCTTCTTAGCTCTTCCTCATTATCTTAGGGACGATAGGTAATGGAACCCTGGTAGTAAGAGGTTGAGGGGCTCTGATAGCTATCTGTAGAATATTTTTTCAGGATTTTTAATATTTTATTTTTTCCAATGACATGTAAAAACAATTTTTAACATTTGTGTTTTTTAATTTTGAGTTCCAAATTTTCTTTCTCCCTCCACTTCCCCCTTACTGAAAAGGCAAGCAATGTAATACAGGTTATACATGTATAGTCATGCAAATCATATTTCTGTATTAGTCATGTTAAAAAAAAAACCTCTCCCCCAAAAAAAATGAAAGAAAAATAAAGAAAGTTTTAAAAAGTATGGTTTAATCTGCATTCAGACTCCATAAGTTCTTTTTCTGGAGGTGAATAACATTTTTCAAAATAAGTCCTTTGAAATTGTCTTGGACCATTGTATTGCTGAGAAAAGCCAAGTTATTCACAGTTGATCATCATTAGAACATTGCTATACAATGTACTCCCAGTTCTGCTCACTTCACTTTGTATCAGTTCATCTAAGTCTTTCCAGGTTTTTCTGAAGGCATCCTGCTCATTACTTCTTATAGTGCAACAGTATTTCATCACAATCATATACTTCGACTTGTTCAGCATGCCCCAATTGATGGCTATCCTCTCAATTTCCAATTCTTTGTCACCACAAAAAGAGCTGCTATAAATATTTTATGCATATAGGTCTTTTTCCTCTTTTTAAAAAAATCTCTTTGGGATTTGGACTTACTAGTTCTATTGCTGAGTCAAAAAGTTTGCATAGTTTATAGTTCTTTGGGCATAGTTCTAAATTGCTCTCCAGAAATAGTTGGACCAGTTCACAACTCCACCAACAGTGTTTTAGCATAACAATTTTCCCACATCCCCTCTAACATTTGTCATTTTTCTTTTTTATCATATTAGCCAATCTGATAGATGTGAAGTGGTACCTCAGCAATGTTTTAATTTGCATTTCTCTAATAGTGACTTAGAGAATTTTTTCATATAACTATAGAAAGCTTTAATTTCTTCATCTGAAAACTACCTGTTCATATCCTTTGACCATTTATCAATTGGGGAATGACTTTTATTCTTATAAATTTGACTCAGTTCTCTATATATTTGAGAACTGAAGCCTTTATCAGAGAAAACTGCTATAAAATTTTTTTGCAGTTATGATTACTGTGTGTTTTCCTCCATCCTTTGTTTTCTCCTGTTTATCCTTCTCTCTCTCTCCTTTCACCCTGTCTCTCCTCAAAAGTGCTTTGCTTCTGACCACTGCATCCCCCAATCCACCCTCCCACCTATCAGCACTTTCCTTATCTTATTCCCTTCCCTTCCTACTTCCCTGTAGGGTAAGATGGGCTTCTATACCCAACTGAGTGTGTGTATTATTTCCTTTTTGATCCAGTTCTGATAAGAGTGAGGTTCAAGTGTTGTCTGCCCCCACATTTTTGCCTCCACTGTAAAAGCTCTTTTGTGCCTCTTTTATGTGAGAAAATTTATCCCATTTTACCTCTTCCTTCCTCTTTCTTCCAGTACATCCTTCTTTCTCACTCCTTAATTTTATTGTTTAGATAGCATTCTATCAGAGTATCCGTCTTTCTCACCCTCTAAAATTTTTTTAAATATTAGCCCATCATAGTCAACTCATACCTGAGCCCTCTGTCCATGTTATACTCCTTCTAACTGCCCTAATATTGATAAAGTTCTTGGGAGTTACAAGTATCATCTGCCCATGTAGGAATGTAAATAATTTAACTTTATTGAATTCCTTATGATTTCTCTTTCCTGTTTATCTTTTTATTCTTCTCTTGAGTCTTGTATTTGAGAGTCAAAATTTCTATTCAGCTCTGGTCCTTTCATCAGGAATGCTTGAAAGTCCTCAATTTCATTAAATATCCATTTTTCCTCTGAAGGAATATACTCAGTATATTGAGTAAGTGATTTTTAGTTGTACTCCTAGCTCCTTACCCTCTGGAATATAATATTCCAAGCCCTTAAATCTTTAATGTAGAAGTTGCTAAATCTTGTGTGATCCTGACTAAGACTCCATGATATTTGAATTGTCTCTTTCTGGCTGCTTGCAAGATTTTCTCCTTGACCTGGGAGCTCTGGAATTTGGCTATAGTGTTCCTGGAAGTTTTCATTTTGGGATCTCTTTTAGGAGATGATTGGTAGATCCTTTCAATTTCTATTTTTTCCTCTGGTTCTAGGATATCAGAGCAGTTTTCCTTGGTAATTTCTTGAAATGTGATATTTAGGCTTTTTTTTTATCATGGCTTTTCAGAAAGCCTAATAATTCTTAAATTATGTCTCCTTAGTCTATCTTCCAAGTCAGTTGTTTTTCCAATGAGATAGTTCACAGTTTCTTCTATTTTTTCATTCTTTTTATTTTGTTTTATTGTTTCTTGATGTCTCATTAGCTTCATTATTTCTTCAATGAGCTTTTGTACTTCCTTTTCCATTTGGCCAATTCTCCTTTTTTTTTTTTTGGTGTTTTTTTGTTTGGTTTGGTTTGGTTTTGGTTTTTCTTTTTTTTTAGGAAATTGGGGTTAAGTGACTTGCCCAGGGTCACACAGCTAGTAAGTGTCAAGTGTTTTGGTCTGAGGCCAGATTTGAACTCAGGTCCTCCTGACTCCTGGGCTGGTGCTCTATCCACTGTGCCACCTAGCTGCCCCTCCAATTCTACTTTTTAAGGAGTTCTTCTCTTCAGAGAATTTTTGTAATCTTTTTCCATTTGGCTAATTCTGTTTTTTAAGGAGTTCTCTTTATTGGGTTGTTGTGCCTCTTTTACCATTTGGCCTATTCTGGTTTTTTAAGGTGTTATTTTCTTCAATATTTTTTGTGCCTCCTTTACCAAGCTATTGACTTTTTTTCCATGATTTTTTGCATCACCTTCATTTTTTCCCTAATTTTTCTTCTCCCTCCCTTTTCGATTTTTTTCTAATTTTGAGCTCTTCCAGGAATTCTTTCGGGCCTGAGACTAATTCACATTTTTCTTTGAGGTTTTGGATGTAGTTGTTTTGACTTTGTTGTCTTCTTTTGAGTTTGTGTGATCTTCCTTGTCACCATTGTAACTTTCTATGGTTCAGTTTTTTTGTTTTTGGGGGTTTTGTTGTTGTTGTTTGCTCTTTTTTTGCAGTCTGTTTGTTGACTTTTGACTTTATGTTAAAGTTGGGCTCTGTTCCCAGGGCAGAGGGGACACTAATCCAAGCTTTAGGTTTTTCATGCTACTGTTTTTAGAGCTAGTTCTGGAGATGCCTAAGTTTTTAGTTCTTCCAAAGTGGCGTGATCTAAAGAGAGGTGTGGTCACTGCTCTCCTAGCTTGTGCTCTGTGTCAGTGAGTGACCACAAACAGTCTTTTCTACCCTGGAATTGTGACCAGGGTCCCTGTTCTCCTGTGGCCACATGCTTTAGTGGCTAGTACTCCTCCTCACCCTGGAATTGTGACCCAGAATTGTGTATGGGCAATGCAACAGAGTCCCGCACCTGATGCTAGCAAACGATCCCCTGTAATCTCTTTCTGACCAACCCCCTTGCCATCTATGGGCTAAGAGCTTTCAGTCACCTCCAAGGTTTGCTGCCGTCTTACTGGGTATTGCTTGCATTGGCCTATGCTCCACTCACTCTGGTGAGACAGCTCTTTCCTGCCAATCTTCTAAGTTATCTTGGGCTGGAAAATTGCTTCACCTCATCCTTTTGTTTAGTTCTGCTCCTCCAAAATTCATGTTGAGGCAGTATTTTAAAGCTGTTGTGAAGGGAATTTGGGAGAGCTCAGGTGAGTCCCTGCTTTTACTCCACCATCTTGGCTCTTCCCCTTATTAAAAAAAAATTTAATCCATAAAAAGTAACTAAACTGGATATTGAAGACAATAATGTTTATGACTTAGTTGGGGTGAAATGATAGAAGAGGACTATGCCACTCCTATTTAGGGGAGGAAAAAATGTGGTTTGCTGGCATATGCTCCAAAATGCAGAATATACTTTTCCATCTTGGTTCAGCAAGAAATACTGCCATCAGGTTCATCTATTTCTAACACAAATATGCTCATATTTAAGTTCACTGGAATCAAGCTCTCTAAACAGAAGGCTCAGAAGGACCACTGTATCTAAGTACAAAGATAAGAAATATTTCTTGTTTTTCCAATAATCAGGTTCCATTCAGTCAATCAACATTTATTACAAACTTACTAAAAGGAAAATGATCATCTGCTAAGGTGGGAAGGGATTAAAATCTGTATCCATGGATAGAATATATCTATGCCGTCGAAATTCTGGATCATTGAAGAATAAGTTTCTTTCTAGGGAAAAATGCGCAGATAATTAAGACAACATTCCAGTTCTCAAGTAGTTTACAATCTAATGGGGAAGATAAATAGTGTCTAATGAAATAATTTGGACACTGCAGTAAGCAGGACAATATGTTTCTTCACATACACTTTTTACAACATTTAGTTGGTATCAAGGATACGAGGCTTCGAGGGGAGAGAGACCCAGAGCCACTAAGATCTAATGTGTAGAAAGACTCCAAGACACTATGATGCCATTGCTGGGTAGGCTAATGATGACTGGGTTGTAGAGGGTTGAGGATTTAGAAGAAGAAAGAGCACCATTTCATAAATTCCTATTAGATATAATTATTCTTGCTAACTGGATGCTAAGCTCAGCTTCCTACGCTGCTAAAAGAGTACAAGTAATATCATTTCCTTCTAAATTTTGGCGCCTGGGGGAAACCCCAGTCATCTTGCCTTAGTTATGGCTCTAGAGAGGACAAATGAGCACAAATTACCATAATAAAAATAGAGACAAGTACATAAG